ATTGAACCCACAGGAAAGTTAACACTGCCCTACTGAAACTGTATTATAGAAAAAAATGTGTGTGGTTCAGGTAGCTCTTTTTCTAATGGTCTATTTCCTTCTATTCACTATTCCCTTTCAAAGTTGCTTGGCTGACCTCTAGTGGAGGCTTGTGTGCCAGGACAGACAAAAATCGGAAATTTGCTGATTTGTTGCCATTTTCCCCCTCCAAAGTATTGCTGTTGTGACTAGGTTTAACTCCCCCAAAATTTAGCCAGTTATTTATTATTAACTGGCTAGATTTTGGGGGAATAAATTTATATAATTTATATAATAACTCTACAGGTGTGAATTCCCCCTCCCACTGACAAAGAAAGACACTAAGTACCTATATTACAGACACAGGTGTGAAACAGTCTGAGAGATACACATTGCCATGTTTGAACACTGCAATCCTTTGATACTAAATATGGACTTGCTCCTACAAGGAAGTGAGCAGCCTCAGCTCCCACTGTAGCCAACTTTACACTTGGGATTTTCCGACCAAAATGTTTGATTTCACAACCTAGTGACAATGAAATATTAAGTTTTTGCATCTAAGTCCTCAGGTACGTTTTAGAAACACAAAGAAAAGAAGGTCGCCATTTCACCAGCTAACAAGCACCTCTGATGTCTCTTAATTGTGAATAACTGAGCATGTACACAGGTGCATAGACTCGCAAAAAGAGCACACATATATATAGTGAACACACATGTTCAGCTAAGCGCCCACTTGTGGCTTTATTAAGGTCGTTCTACTGTGCATGCACAAAGCAACATTGTAAAAAACTAACTCAAAACCAAAATATTTCAAACCTAGCATAGGCATTACACACCTCCATGAACTGTAATTCCATGTGGACTAAAACAACAAGGAGTCTGGTGGCACCTTAAAGACTGACAGATTTATTTGGGCATAAGCTTTCGTGAGTAAAAACCTCACTTCTTCGGACGCATAGAGTGAAAGTTACAGATGCAAGCATTAGATACTGACACATGGAGAGCAGGGAGTTACTTCGCAAGTGGAGAAGTAACTTGCGAAGTAACTCCCTGCTCTCCATGTGTCAGTATCTAATGCTTGCATCTGTAACTTCCACTCTATGCATCCGAAGAAGTGAGTTTTTTTTTTCCTCACAAAAGCTTATGCCCAAATAAATCTGTTAGACTTTAAGGTGCCACCAGACTCCTTGTTGTTTTAGTCCACATGGAATTACAGTTCATGGAGGTGTGTAATGCCTATGCTAGGTTTGAAATATTTTGGTTTTGAGTTAGTTTTTTACAATGTTGCTTTGT